GGGGAAAATGAGGAATTTACTCAGAAAAACTTTGAAAAGGAGATTTGCAAATTTGCAAAACTTAAAATGATTGACAATCATCCAGTGCTAGTAAAAAATTATTCAACTGCTGATAGAAATGTAATTAAGTTTACTGTTTTTGAAAAGTAATTTGCAATTGATTATCAATTAAAATTTAAAATCCACATATTCTCTAACTCAGGAATCCCACTTTTACAAAACTTTCTTACAAAAATAAAAGCATCCATATGCAATGTTATATTTAGAGGTAGTTAATTGAAGCACTGTTTGTAATAGCAAAATAATTCCTGGAAACTATCTGAATGTCTGTCAACAGAAGGAAATGGTACAACCATTCTATGGTAATATCCACATTACAGAATATTCTGCAGCTACTAATAAAAATAAGTTAAGTGTGTGTAAAGACCTGAGAGGATAGCATATACTGAGTAAAAAATAGACTAATCCCATCTCGAGATAAAAAAGATAAATGCATGCATTTTCACTTGTAAGAATATTGAGAAAGTGTTAGTACCAGATAGTTAATACTGGTGACCTCAGGATCAGAGATTTAACTTTTCCCAGCAAGTATGAATTACTTTTGTAACTTAAAATGAAAAGGAAAAAAAAAAGAAGCCATTTTCAAAAGTAAGCTGAGTAAGAATCTCAACATACTCTCCTCTCTTCCAAATTCATAACAATGACAACAAAATCCTACATTGCAACTATCTTGAATGAAAGGATGATGCTTCAGGACAGTCAAGGATTCTGTGGACTCTCTTTTACAGATAATTTAAGCTTTCTTTAAAACAAAACAAACAAACAAAAACCCTATCTCTTATATCTTATCCTGCCAAAAGGAGAAAGGCCTATTCTTAAACAAGCTTAATGTCCAGTGGCTCTTCCTATCTAGTTTCTTCTATCAGTGGTAGTCTTTTTAAGGCATTTGTGATCAGGAGCTTGAAATTTTTAGAATGCTCAGAAGATTTCTAAAAGTATAACATTTATTCACTGAGGGTAACCTGAAGTGTTACATGAGAAATCTTAGTAAGACAGAACTAGATCTTATTCAAATACTTCTGGTCCTGAAATTGGGAGCAGTAACCGCTACTTGGGCGCCCCCTGGGTGCCAACTTTTGAATTTTTTACATCTTCAGGACAAACTGGTGTCCTGTTTAAATATTTATTCCAAGAATACTTATTAAGCACCCATTATGTGCCAGACACAATGTTCAACACTGGAGACACAAATATAAATAAAATGAAGTTCTGATTTCTACATGTTTAGAGTCAGTATCACCCAAAAGCTTCTAAGCATAGCAGGTAGGATACAAAGTATGTTACCCACACAGGCCTTGGAGGAAGTTATGACACAGAAGATGATAAAAACACTTTCTGGGCGCTACAGAAAACAATTTGGCATAGATATAAGCTTTAGCATAATTTGCTTATGTAAGCAAAATGCTTACCATCTTTAAAAGAGAGTAGGTTTAAATATTCCAAGTAACACATGCAAAATTGTGGTTGTTATTTTCAGACAAGTTTAGATTGTAGCACCATAATTTTCCCTAGGCCAAAACAATACAAATAAAGCTTAATTTTAAAAATTCAAAAATGAGCCAGTATCCCCATCATGATTTTTTTAGTAACAAGTTATTTTACAATAATAACTCCACTCTGAGCACTTAACTCTAATAAACTATTGCACTGATTTAGAAAATCGCTAATTTTCAAAAAAAAAATTGAGTACGAGCACACATATTTAAAGACAATTAGTTAGAAAATAAAACAAAACCGAAAAAGATAGGTTCAAATAAATAGGCAAAAGTCAACCTCAAAGCTTCCCTCAATCCTTTCCTTACAGTTCAGAACACTTTTCAGAAGTTACTGTATCAGATTTACCTTTCCTTTCTCAAGATCTAGGAAAGCAAACAGCAGAGGCAGAATTTGCCAACATAAAAAGAAATAAACAAATAAACAAGGACCAGCTTCCTCTGGTCACACCCTCAATACATAACTGCAATATCCCAGGACATTAGAGGGCCAGATACTCTTTAAGGCTCTTTAGCAGGGGCCCAAAGATGTACTTCCAGCAGTTGAGCTGGGAAATCAATGTAATTTCCCAAAGAAACAATTCTATTTCAGCCACATTTCAGGCACCCTGTGAGCTAAATTAACAAGCGGCATGGTAGTTGGGGAAATTAACCTTGATTTATATAACTTTTCCCCTATAGAAAAAATTTAGTTCCAAAATTACAATCTTTTGGGATTCAGCTTACATTTGCCAGTATAACAAAACTTGAGTCAAAATGCAAGAGACTCACAAAGGCAAAAACAAAAAAACCTCTGACTTAACTGACCATAGACATTCCATTGTTTAGTTTATTTAGTCAGCTAGGGAATAGCAATTGCTAACTTACAAACTATTTGGAATTTATAGTTATCAATTTAATAATGTTTATCAATTGGAATCAAAAGCAAATATTTTCATGAAAGGTAACAGTTTAAACCAGCTTAAGCTCATATAATTGTTGAAATCTTAAAGAATAATATAATACATTATAGAACATATCTCATCATGGAAATCTCATAATTGATAATTAACAGGTTTAAAATATTATCAGCCATTATTGAACAAAGTAAAGAATAAATACTAGTTACAGAACATGTAGATTATTTTTAACCCAGTAGAGTAATATGGGTATTATTAGTTTGGGTGTGGACATTTAAAATCACATTATGATTCAGAAACAAAATATTTAAATACATTCAAATACATCAATCATAAACCAAATTTTAAAAAGTAGTACTACAGTGTACTTCAAAGTAAAAATAACCAATCTCATAAATTATGAACAGGAAGAACAGAAGAAAAAATTATTTGCATCTATGTATATCAGATATTTTACATTTAACATTCACAAATACCATAATAGATAGGTATTATTTCTCCCTTTATACAGAGGAGCTCAAGGGAAAAGTAACAACTTCTCCAGGACTAAATAAAGAGAGAGTAAATGGAACAGTTAGGGTTTGAACCCATATCTGTCTGACTCTGAAGTCTTCTCCTTTCCTTGTCATGCTATTTACATGTAAGAGTTATTTCATACATACAACAAAGACGTGAAATCCTCCAATTGTTACTTGTCTTTTAAAAAGTAAAAAAAAAAAAACCCAACAAAAATAAGGAGAAAAATATTTATGTATTTTTAGTTTAATTAGTTCCACTTACAGTCCTAAAAATGATCAGCAATTATAAATACAACTGTAGAACACATAATGAAATAGATGTTACCATCTGACTTTTTTTGGATGCTCTTTAGAGAATATAGGACAGGAGTGGATTGTGTGAACCTGGGAGCGGAGTCAAAGCCCAAAGCTAATAAAAGCTGTATCCTGGAACAGAGGAGGGAACTATTTTAGAAGTTATAGGTCAAAACTTTGGTTGGTCACCGAGTTTCACAAAAATTCTTTGGTGTTTTACAGCACCACTGGTCACTTTCAATGTTTCTAGGTATCTTCTGTTATCCTTCTCTCCTAAACATTCCCTAGGCTCTCCAATTAGCCTTGCACCCACTGTGGCTAACCACGTTATCTGTTCGAAAATTGCTAACAGAATAGAATTCGTAACTATCGCGCTTTGAGAAAAAAAATTATTTTAGAGTTGGGAAGCTTTTCCCATTGAGTTTAAATCTGTGTGCACAGCCCCTTCTTACGTTCTAGAGCGAGCAACTGAGACTCGGAGAGAGGAAGTGACTTGGCCATGGACTAAGTGTGAGCTGGCAGCCGGGCCAGAGGTTAAAGTTTTATCTCATACTCCACGGCTTTTCCACACAGACCCAGGCTGCACCTCAGGGCTGGTCTTGGCACTGATTGGCACAGAAAGTGCTACGAGCAGATCGCAGAATACCTAAAGTAATGCCCTGTCGGCCGGGGCTCCTTTCTAGGGTAAAGACATGTTGGTTAACCAACGGTTCTGAGTTTAGAAGGCGTGGGGGAAGGGGCGGAGTGGGAAAACCGGTCTCCCTTTCAGGCAGCGGGAGGTGCACACGGCCTCTAACCCAAATCGACGTTCCTGCTGCTCCCACCCACCGACAACCAGCAACACACTGACCTCTGCGAGCTCGGGGTCCCTGGAGGCCGACCCTCCCGCGATCCCTCTCCTAGCCCTCTCTGGAGACGAACTTGGTCCCCAGAACGTAAGGAAAGAGGGGCGCGGGA